TTAGAATAACAACTTGCCGAATGATGATGCAGGAATTTTGTATTGTATATTGAAATGCTTGAGACAATGTCAGAGGTATACAAGGTATATGTAATTGAAAATTTCAAAGTTGGATGCCACCAAAGTAAAATTTCATTAATATTATTATTTAAAATGCATATATTCCAGGAAGAGCTATAAAAACTTCAGAGTCTTCTAAGATGTTGTAATGATCTGATTCAACTAACTACGTCGATTTTGTAGTTTCATAGGAGCATTTGTATTATCTCTATATGATGGATGTTAATAATAATGGTCTTATATTCAAATAATAACTAGTTGGTATTGGTATTTTGCCTTGAGGCAAGTTACATAAACTTGCCGAAATGTGTAAATAATCGACTTAATCAATAAAAAATAAATTAATTACAATATCTTTCGAACAGTTTTTGATTTTTTAAAATCGGTTCGGTAGTATGAGCTTAAATGTAGACGAAAGGTTTAACACTTTTTTCCAAATTAGAAAGAAACGGCTCGGCCGATCGTCGCACAAAACTGAGAAACGATAATCTTCATCGAGATACATCAAATGCTTTTTGAATATCTGAAATCGGTTCAGGCATTTATGAGCAAACGTGGATGAAAGTTCTAATTTTGACAAATGCCAAAAAGACCATACTAATTTTTGCAAACTTTTTTTTAAAGCTAGACCAGTTGTCGTAGGGCCGTAATATTTTAGTATGATCTAGAAGACTATGGTATCTACCGTCAAAAAAATAATCATGAAAATCGTCGATTTTTTCGATTCAGAAATCGATTCAGAATTGCGAGCTAAAACGTAGACGAAAAATTTTTCACTTTTTTGCGATTTATAAAGAAACGGCTTGACCGATCGTCAACTGACAAACAATAGTCCTCATCGAGATACATCAAGTGGCTTTTAAATTTTTGAAATCGGTCCAGCCGTTTTCGAGAAAACGTCGATTTACGGCAAAAAATCTGTTTACACACACACACACACATACTTTTTCCAAATTTGGTCTCATTCGATTCTGAATGGCTTGAAAAGTCGAGAAAACATAAAATTAGAAATGCGGATTTTTTGATGAAAACATAAACTTCTCCTTCGGGAAGTTAAAAACAACCCAGATATTGACACCAAATTTTACCCTCTAACAAAGACACGTTGCATGAACTCCATTATTATTCAACCCATATGCAAATCATTATAATAATTAAATTACATATCCTTTAATCACAAGCTTATTTCGCGAATATGAATATCTACAATTTCAATTCGATATTTGTATTAAGAAGGAGTTTGCTTAGAATGCGATCGACGAAGCATGCAAAATTCTATCAAGGGGTTGATGTAATGGGGCGGTTTGCAATCAATATTCAAAATCTTGCGACAACCTAGTTATTCCCAGGTCTTGTTTGATCATAATTATCACAACAGCAAATTAATCTAAAGGTGGTTGGAGGAAATATGATAGAGTTATGATGTATACTGCGCATATGACTATCAATAGGATGTCAATGGATATGTAAATTTTCTGCAACAAATATGATAATGTTGATTGTATTGTTAACCACTCCGATTTACATTATGCAAACTGTAAACTTGAAATAGTTGTAAAAACTGTTAAAAGGAGCACTTAGCTCCCCTATATATGTACTTTAGTAAATTGCCTGAACCTGAGTAAATGCCCTAAACCTGAGCATGTCTTAAGACAATCTTTCTTATCAAATTATTATCTGCAATCAATGCCAAATAAATAATACCTACTACTAAAAACCAATCCAAAGTCTTTTATTATTTTTTATTATATATTGATTCTGATTTACGCCAAATATTTCTTAATTGATTAAAACAAAAGTAAATAATTTAACTACGACTAATATCTGTTAATTTACAACAGATCTTTTCCATCTCTAGTTCACTTTAATAAAATTTTATTGATTAATAAAATGCGATAACCGCTTATACACCTATTGGCATTGTGAAGCTTTTCATTTTTCCATTTACAATTTGAATACTTTTATCAAATTTAATGCTATTAAAAACTAATCGGTTGTCAATATTGTATAATGAACATGTGAAAAGCTTAAAAGCCATTTTGCAGTCTGCACGATAATAATTAACAGAGTATCATAGGTAATTTAACAGCAAATTGTTATTTTTGCAAAAACGATAATTAGAAATTTAATAATTAGTCAAATATTTACACGCACATACAAGTAGTAAGGGGCACAAAAGTCCAATTTGACTTTGAGCAATTAAATAAAATAACGCATATCAAACAAACTACTATCAAACTATGAACTCAAACTAACTATCTGACTATGTTCAGTAAAACTCCCAGCTAAAAAATTGTAAACTGGACCCTTTTACCCCATAAACGGGGTGAAATAAGAAAGCCAAGCTTTAGGCATTTTCCAGAATAATACCAGCATTACACAACAAATGCCAAATATAAATTCATGGATACATGTTTTACAAAGTTAACGCTGTATATAACCTTGATCTAGTATTTGATCAAAAATATTTATTAACAGAGTTGTAATAAGAACTTTCCAAAAGAGAAGTTTATGTTTTCGTCAAAGAATCTGATTTGCTAATTTAGTGTTTTCTTGACGTATTTTTCGAATATTTGTAAGTTGCACCTTTTTACCCCATAAGCGAAGTGAAATAAGAAAGCCTAGCGGCTAACATGTCCAATGTCTTATTTTTAATTTTCAAGGTATTTTCCAAAATAATAGCTGCACTATACAACCAATGCCAAATATCAATAGGTGCATTTATCACAGAGAACACTGTATATAACCTTGATCTGGTACTTTGTCAGAAATATTCATTAGCAGAATTGTGATAAGAACTTCCCAAAAGAGAACTGTATATTTTCGTCAAAAAATTTGAATTGCAGTTCAGGTTTTCACAACGTTTCAAGTCATTCTGAATTGTGTGACACCAAAATTAGAAATGAGCAGACTTTTTCCCATCTTTTTTTTGGCATTTTTTTTTCTTTTTTTTAATCTTTATTTGTCTATTATGAGTGAATACAAAAATATAATGATAACAAACTGCACATCTATCCAATTGATATCAATAGATTCATTCAAATTACATAATAAACTATGCTATAGTGGAATAAACAAATATATTATATTAAAGATTATAAAAAAATTATATAAAATAAACCATAAATATATATTTAGATAGATATGGTAGATTTAGAGACAGTAAGGAAAGGAGGAGTAAGTTAAATAGGAAGTAATAGATCATTTCACATGATATTTATGGAAGTAAAAAAATAAATTATTGGTTAATTATGAAGTTTGGAAGTCTGTAATTATTGTACCAAAACATATCTTCAGTAGTTTTACCAACTATTTTAACATTGATATTGTCACTAACAGGGCTTCTAGATCTTTCTAGAAATTGACAAAATTGATAAACTGAATAAAAAACTATCGAAACCATGAAATGAAATTTTGTAATACCTTGAAAAGATTGTGTGATGATTGACCCAGGTGTTTTTTTATAATTAGTTTTTGCCTAAAATTTTTAACCCATTTTGTAAACTCAAAAATTTATGTTAATCAGGCAAAAACCATCCAAAATTCACTTAATTATTATTTTAATAAATTGTTTTTTTTGTCCACTTATTTTGGCTTCGAAGAAGCATTCGGTTTAGGATTTTGTGATGTCAGGTAAAATGTTTAATTTAGTACTGACGGTTTTCTCCATATATACATAGTTGCGTGCAAACTGTACACTTTCATTATTATTTCAAACCGTTAATATTTTAATCGGGGTCACGCGTACAGTCGTTAACAAATAATAAATGCATATACCGACATCGTAAAATGTATTCCATTAAACTTCTTTTTAATAATGCACGTGCAGACCAGGGCAGAATAAACTTTCTAATTAATATATATATATATATATATACATATATATATATATATATATATATATATGTTTAATTTGAGTTTAATATTCGGGCGTAACATCAATAAAAATATTTATTTTTATTGATGTTACGCCCGAATATTAAACTCAAATTAAACATATATATATCAACATCAAATTCAAGAATATTCAAATATATATATATATATATATAATATATATATATATATATATAATATATATATATATATATATATATAAAATATATATGTAATATTTTTGCAGCTCAATCGTCAAATTAAAAAAAAGATTAAATAACAGAAATATTTATTCCATTAAACGTTTCGACACTTGTGTGTCATCACTCAGTAATCAAATCAGGAAAAACAATACAAAAAAATAATTATGATGTAAAATTGATTAAACACTAAATTTGTGTAAATTAATAATATACTATTATATTAACAAACGAGAAATTGAAGGAGCACATATTGCCCTCCTATATTTAATGTTAATACTAGCGGTGCATTGTGGACACTGATCAAGGTCACAACGCCGTTTGGCTAAAAAATGAATAATAGTTTACCCAATATAAACTTAACCCTTTCCACTCGCTAATTTCAAGATTTATATGAATTTTGCTGCCGGAGGGGCTGCATCCGAGTGAGAAAAGTTAATGCGTACTATACGAGCATTAAGTATAAAAATCAGTAGGTAATCCTGTAACCAAAATAAGTAAATTGCATTTATTATATGCAAAAAAACATTCACAACTAATTTTAAATTGAAAAAAAAAAACTATAAAAATATTGTGTATATAAATCTTGTGGAAATTACTTAAACTTCAAGTACTGGCTTTGAAATTTTTTCTGTAATGAAAAAGATTTTCCGATATCGGGGAAGCACTATTAGTATCAAAGTAAATATAGTTCTTAATAAATAGCATTGACTCACTCTCACGTTATCTAGAAGTACTTAGAGATAGATGTCCTATAAATTCTGACAAATCTTGGAAAATATTTATTATTTTATTAATTGTTCAACAATTAAGTAACTCAGCTGAATCAGCATAAAATAACAATTTCCAAGCCAATATGAAGAATTTAGTAGTTTTCGGGTTAGTGCTAGTGGCTCTATTTGCTGTTACAATGGCAGAAGACACCCCAGATGAAAATGAGAAATTTGAAGTAAAGATGTCAAAAGTGTCTTTGGATGAAGTAGAGCCAGGTATATATAAGAAAATCAATAATTCAAACTACTATATAGTATATTTATGCTATTCATTAATTATTTGTTGAGACAAAAAATTACTGTAGATATTTTGGAACAAAATATGCACAATGCCAATAGCAATTCTTTATTTTGCATCACTGATATAACTCTCAATTGTAATTGGATAACACGCATAAATATAATTATTAGCAAAATAAAGTAAAATATAAAGATAAAAAAATTAAAAAAAAGTTAAAAAATAAAAATGTTCAAAAATAAAGTAATAAAGAATATTTTCATTGATTTATTTTGACTTTGCTGGATTTCAATATTATTTATTACAATAAACATTATTCAGCAAAAATGGTTAATTACATTTTTACAGTAAAAATATATATTCAATTTTTATGTTTTAATTTTTGTAGCACCACGTGTAGTATGCCAACTTGGAGGAAATAGATTATGCAATGCTCGGTGCATATCTCTAGGAAAAAGAGGAGGCGCGTGCAAAAAAGGAACTTGCTACTGCAGAAAGTAAAGAAAACTACCATAAATTATCATTTAGCACAAAATGAATAACAAGTTAACTATTTATAACTTATCCATTTGTATATTAGCTTAGATAATCAGAATACAATATCTATGACAAGCAAAACAATAATTTTTCATACACCATAGATTTAGACAAACAAAAAATCAAAGTAGTGGCTACAATACTTGTTTCAAATAAAAAATGTTTAAATTACTTTGAAAAATGTTATTATTGATACAACAATTTAGTGATCATATAATTGGAAAAAAAACTCTTTATCTTAATGTCACTCAACAAACATTACTTAACACACATCAGAACACATCAGACTATATTTGAGACATTCCATATCTCTGAAACGCTGAATCAATTATTTTTCATAATTAAAGAACAATGAAGACTTTTGGTAAGAAGGTTATATTACATATATATATATATATATATATATATATATATACACATACATATTATACATATAATTTTGTTCTAAAGAGATACTGTCTTTAGGTCTGTGAGTAAGATATACAATTCTCATTTTCAAAACGGAACTTCATAATATAAGATTCTCATATGTGATGAAGTACAGCAAATCACTTCCATAATAAGTTGTTTTGTGATATGTAAATAGCCAGCTCCGTTTCTAAATACTCGTTTAAGTAGCTTCAAATACAAATACTTTGGTAAGTAAAACCATCGCCGTTGTCTGAACTTTGAAGTATAGCTTTCGAGGGGTAGCTAAAGTGACATATCACTCCGCAAGTGATTTAGGGGTAGATAACTGAACGTTTACAAGCGCGATGGGGAGCAAGCGATCTGGAAAATGATTTCAGATTTTCAAATTGATCGTTACCGATGTTTATTGCCCAAGTTATTAGCTACAGCCGCGAAAATTATCATTCCTCGAATGATGTGATCAAATTATATTACGACTGAATATATTTCCAGACATATGTATGTTCTGACAAATGTAATGGATATATATATATATATATATATATATATCCACCTAGTAATTAAAAACAGTTTTATTGAAAGAAAATGTTTTTTTTTTCAGAGAACATACGTATCGGGTCTTGATTTGACCCATCTTCACTGCATACAAATAAATTTGAAAAAAAAAACACAAAAACAACACGAAATTGCACGAAAAAATAAATATGAACCAAAAAATTGATAAAACGTCGAGTTATGATAAATTATAAAAAAATGTAAAATTAAATTAAATAATATATTTTATTAAAAAAAATACTATTCCAAACGAACATGTTGTCAGCTGGGAGTATGTGTTACGTATCACATACTTCAAGCTGACAATTACGAATGAATATTTTTGTATATATATATATATATATATATATATATATATTTCCATATTAAAAACGGCAAAAATTAGTATTTTATTAGTATTCATATGCAACTATTTGATCTAAGTTAGGTTTTCCAAGTATGTAGTTTTACAAGTACCTAAACGCCCAGGTATTTCTATAAATTATTTTACCATGCACCTTGAATATTTATACGCATTTCATAAATTTATTCTTATTTCATTCCGCCACTCATTTCACTTCTGACATGTTTAATTAAATATCCTATAACTTGGCAGATTTCTCGTGCAATACATGAAGGATCCTTTTAATATAATCACAAAAAAGGTTTATTTTGTTTCTTCAGGCCTGAATGGTGAAGAACACAAACCATGAGAGAGCGTTCGAAAAGTTTTATCACTCAATTTAGTTTGCTTGACAGAGCAATTAAGAGTTTGAAAGAAGTCGAGTTTAACTTTGTGTAATTTTTTTATAGAAGCATTATACAAGTTGCCTTCCGACTCATGCGCGCAACAAACGCGTTTTCGACTTCTTACATTGTTTTCACAGCATTGCTGTATGTTGAATAATAGAAATAAAATAAAAATTTTATTACAATAAATAAATTCCAAAAATATATCTATGATAAATATTGTATCATGATTTTGCATAATTGTTTAGCGTAAATTCCAAAAAATTACTGAAACATTCAAAAAGTGTCAATATTATAGTAGCTAGAAGCAAAAAGCAGTATTTTTCTGATATGTTACTTTTTCACTATTTACTATTGTTTCTATTTGCAATGTAATGAGCAAACTAGAAATAAAGCAATATTCAAATAAAATTAAAAAACATATATATATATATATATATATAGTAGAAAAGATCTGTCTTAAGATGCATTATAATCTAAAACGATGATTGGAGTTGGTGGCATCTGATGCATACTGGTGGTAAGTATATTATAAAAGAGATTTAAAATAAAAAATAGCTATCCCTTTATCTGTTTCTTTGTATGATGATACACAATATTTAGTGAAAGTTTAATGGTAGTGTTTGCAAATTGATCTTCAAAGTTATATTTTTACAGATAGAGTGGCACGTGAGAAAATTGTTTTAAATCTGTCCTAAGATTCATGACATTAAGTCTTAATCAATTATTTATACAGAATAAAAAAAGAAAGTAATAAAAAAAAAAGAGTGCGCGTAAGGATCACACGCGATTGAAGTAAAACTTTTAATATTGTATGAGTAGGCAATAAGATCAAAATAAAAAAAACATCATATTGAATTTTAAAAATCATCTTTTAATAATCATATAACATCAATAATAATAAGATCTCCTGAGCATCGGCACAGCT